GTGTCCCAGATTAAAGCTGGATCTTCCTTCCTCAAAAGATCCAGATTGAAAGTGGGTCTTCCCACTTTGAATGATTTAATTAAGAAAAAAATCCCTCACAGGTCTACTCAACCAAGTTTTAGTTAATTACTGACTGTAGTCAAGTTGGCAATAAAGAATAGTCATTACAAGTTCACCCCTTGTTAACCTGACACACAATCATATTTCCATATGTCATGCTTAATTTCCAAATAAAAACAATAATCAGTTTATATTATGCCTAACGTGATATAACTGTCACATGTGTAATTGGAAATATATTAACATGATATAACTATGCCACCTATAATTGCAATTGCACTAAATATATTTAACCAGGTCATAATTATGCTTAACATGATATAACTATCTTTCATACAACCAACTGCAAGCTCATTATGAATTTAGAATAGGTAGCAATGTCCCTTGAAGGACATTCTTTTAGTATCTCAAATTTAAATATGATGATCACTCATATTCTCTAATTGATGATCAAGAAATAGAGGAAAGAAAATACAAATATCTGTACAAACACATTTTTTAAAATTATGGCAGGAACTCATGTCAATTATCATCCTCATTTCTGCTCTGCAACTGGCCTTCACTGCTATTTCTAACTACCTTCTTCTACTACCCATTCTGTATCTCATTCATACTCAGCAAGCATCTCAACAGGTCTTGACTCTTTTCCTGGAGGAGTGACCTATGCCTTCATTCCTGGAAGGTCTATACTTTGTCATCCTTCCTGGATTAGGTTGTTGTAGTTTTCCATTGATTTTAGTCAGAGGACACAGTAGCACCCAGAAACTCCCTAAAGCATAGCCTGCATTGTAGATATAATCTTTCTTACCTCCGTCATGGGAGAATCAATCTAATTTCCCTATAGTAATCTGACTCAATCACTCCTCTTACCACTGTATTCCTTTCTAGAGGGCATCAGAAGCTCAAAATGTCAAGGGGGAAGTCTGAGCTTCTAACTCAATGGAATGTTTGTTATGTCTCCTGGCAAGAATGCTCACTCCTCTGGAATCAAAACTTTTAGGCCAGTAGAAGTTAAGGTCATGGGAATAAGAAGCAAAAACTTTCCTAGTGTGTCATTAGGGGTGATAGTTATTATAAATATTCCCTTGTCTATCCTTGATTCCTGGACCTATGAATACTGGCTATGGGAGAAACCATACCTAATATTGGATGCTGATTCAAAGCATATAAAGCCTTCTGAAGAACACTGCCCCAGCACTCCAGGCTTCTGCCATTTTATTGGTACTGCAACTGTGTCTTCAAAAGATCATCCCATCTTTTCATCAGGACAGCTGATTAAAGATGGTGGGGAACATGGTAAGATCAGTGGATTCTATAATGACCATGGGCCCACTGTCACACTTCTCTGTCAATTGAATTCCTTAAAGCATATTGTGTGAAATACCATGACAGTGGATAAGGCATTCTGTAAATCCATGGATGGTTGTTTTGGTAGAAGCATTCAATGCAGGAAAGACAAATCTATAACCAGAATAAATATCTACTCCAATAAAGACAAAGTGTTGTCTTTTGCATGGAGAAAGTGGTATAATGCAGTCAACCTGCCACCAGGTCACTAGCTGGTCACCACAGAAAGTGGTGCCATATCTGGGGATTAATGTTGATCTCTGCTACTAGAAAACTTGGCACTCAGCAGCAGCTGTAGACAGGTCAGCCTCAGTGAGCAGAAGACTATGTTTTCTAGCTCATGTATAACCTCTATGTCTGCCATCATGGCTGCTTTGTTCATGGGCCCATTGGACAATGACAGGAATGGTTGGGAAAAAAGCTGACTGTCCACATATGGGCTGTAAGCCCTTCTCTACCTGGTTCCTCCCTACCACTTCCTGTCTGATAGTTGATGATGCAGCCTCCTGACTGCAGATGAATTTTATTTAATCAAATGAATGTAACACATCTTTGCATCACTAAACAAATGTTCCAGAAGATAAACAAAAGTTGCACATTAAAATAATGTTATACAACCATGGGCCATCTTATTTACTTGATTGCTGAATGCCTTCTCTGCCAAAGCCACCTTTTGATGAGCATTTACACGGGGCACACGAATCTTCACATCCTTTGACCATTTGGAGAGACCTAGCCACATATTTCTTTCCCAGACCTCTTTTTCACCAATTTCAGTTATTAAATAAAAACAGAACACAAACACTTGTGAGAGCTAGAGTTGAAAGCATTAATGTTTAAGACAGGGTCTGCCTCTGTGTCCTAGTCAAGCCTCAGACTTGGAATCGTCCTGTGTGCATCTCCCAGTGTTGGGAGTAAAGGCCTGTGCTACTAGTTCTAGCTTGGTAGGTAAATACTTTTGTGAGGAAAACATATCAGAGAAATGAAGAAGAAATCCACTGAGTACCATGCCAGATTTTAACACCTGAGCACCCATGGAAAATTCTGGTATCTCTGACAGTTTGTTTGTACTGAAACAAATCTTTACTGGGAAGTCTCCTTTTGTCTGAGTCCATGGTAACTGTAAGTAGCCCAAATGATCAGCAGGACTACTAGATCTTTGCCTAATTTTAGGAACTTTAGGAATAAATTGGAAAAATACAGACTATCAAAGAGCTATCCATGAGAACCTGCCTGTATTTTATAGGCCAGGCATCAGAGCCTTGTGGGGAGAGTGTTATGAATGCCTTCTTTATCCCTTCATTAAATAGGGAGGCTGATCATTAGCTTTCACAGTATGTTTTAATTATGCTAAATATTGTCATACTACCACTCTTTTATTCCTTCATATATAACTAAAAATCACTACTTTGTGTGGCAATAAAAGCACGTTGGGTATTTCATGAATAATGAAAATTTGAAAAACTGTAGCTTGAGTACAGGAAGCAGTACTCAGGGGGATTCTGCCTAGCATATGTGCAAGTTGAGAGCGAACAAGAGGAATCTTTTATGTTCACTACTATAAAGACGTGTTTGTCCTCTATATTGTAAAAAAAAAAAAGAATTAGCACATGCACATTATAAAGAGCTTGACATGTATGCATTGCCAATGATTTGTTCTGAGTTAAAGTCCCTACCTAAGCAGAGATGTCCCAGGAGAAATACAAGGCTGATGCCGGCAGAAATCAACTAGACCAAACATTTGAAGAATTGCCTGAGCCCATGAACAAAAAGAATGGGAGAAGAGTGAAAGGCATAATGAAAGAAGTGCACAGTGGCTCAGAGATGAGGCTTACCATTTCTGACCAGATGTACAAGAATGATTGATTGCCTTTGTGTCCCAACTCCTCCCAAAGTCTGTAGGAGAGAGGTGCAGTCTAAGACAGCCTTTTCAAAGATGTTAATCTGCTGCTTTCTTACAAAACTGCCTTGGCTCTCCAAATAAAGAATAACTTGAAAAGATTCAGTTCCATATCCACCAACTGGTCTTCAAGGCAAAGCTTTGATATTTTAGTGACAGTGTCTTTAAATTTTCTTATAAAGCTATTAGAAGTACCACCACCCAGATCCATTGCTCTGTGGGGCACTTCAATATGCAAATTAAATGTGTAAAGGTGAGGAACTAATGGATGAAAGAGGAGGGTGGGAAGAGGAGAAGAGAATTCTATCTCCCAGATCCACCCTAAGTCACTGATGATGAGAACATGTTCTAGGCCTAAATGTTGTGCATGTGAATGTGGCCATGAAAAGCACATGGAGGTTGTTCTAGGAAGACACTGTTGCCTTCAGAATAGGAGAAGAAGACAGCCAGGTTGGTTGTTCATATGCTCTGTGGCAGCCACTAAGAGAAACAACTACAATCTGCAACTTTGCCCTTTGAATCAACACCAGTGATCCAATGACCCAGGAATTTAGGTAGAGTGGCTTTTTAGAAATGAATAATTCTTGAGTCATATGTAATCCAAGTGTTTCCTGAGGGAAAAATATGGATACTTCAAAAATTAAGGATTTGGAGGTTCTGGAATCGAATCAAAATATTTTCCAAGAGTATGACCTCTTAAAAACCTAAGCTGAACAAGACATTCTTTTTAAAGTTATTTTTATACTTATTTATTTATAGGGGGAGTGTCTGTATGGGTACACATGTGCCAGAGCGCAGAAGTGGAAGTAAGAAGACAATTTGAGGGAGTCAGTTTCTCTCATTTCTATCACGAATGCTCTGGAAATTGAATTCAGCTCCTCAGGCTTGGCAGCAAGTGCCTTACTTAGTCTGCTGAGCCATCTCTCCAGCACATATACAGTCTTGTACAGATGCAAAGAGCATTAATGGGCTAGATCCAGTTTTCATCAGCTCCCAAGTCACTTTGTCACTGTTTTTTAAACATCACCTCCTAACTCTCCATGCAGTCGTGTTTTCATATTGGTCATGATCCATTCCTGCATCCTTGGAGTCTGGCAAGAGATGAAAGCCAGAATTTCTCCAATGAAGAGTTGCTCCCTAACTATTGCTAAAGTCCACTGCAGGGATCTCTGCACCCCTCTGCTTTCTGTCACACACACACACACACACACACACACACACACACACACACACACAACCTGATTTTTTACCTATGAAATCACAGAACAGCTTCAGAATCTAAGTGGTGTGTTACACATTCTTAATGATTTCTAAAAATAGCTTCTGTTAATAGTTTTTCTTTTTTTTTTAAACTAAAATCGAATTCCTCAAATGAAAAAGCTGGTATTTAGCATTTCCTCTTCTTAACTTCATTGATAGACTTTACCAAATATTAATTTTATATCAATATAGATGCTCAATTGTGATTGCAGTTAAAGTACTTTCAGCTTTTCTTTGTTTGATAAATTTCTATACAAGGATGAAGAAATTTTTTTTAATGTTTTTAAAAATGGGCTCTGTCACCGAATAGAAAGTTGACAATTTAATCTGAAATATCTTCCTTCGTGCCTGCTCTTTAAGTGAAACATCATAAAAGCATGTTTATTTTCAGCTCTTCTGACCCATATCATGAAAACAAAGAAAACAAAAGTACCATTGTCTTCTCAGGTGTGAAGTATTCCGAAATGTTCTGCAACTTTCACTCACTTTCTTAGTTCAGTTTATTTGCTCAGGACAGTGGCTGTGATAGCGCAGACGGTTGAGTCCCTGTGGCACCTGTGTTCCTTCTCTGCAGAGGTGTTCCATGACAGGAGAGGGCAAACATCTAGTGCTTGCTCTTTCCTCTGGTGGAGGAGTTGTTCCAGTTTCCTGCCTGTTGCCGTTATAAACACCATGACCAACAGCCACCTGGAAAGGAACACGTTTATTTGCTTTATGCATCCTGGTAACAGTCCATCGCAGGGGGAAATCGGGACAGAAAAAAAAAAGTGGGAACCTGGAGGCAGGAGCTGAAAGAGAAACCCCCCAAAGGAATGCTACGCCCTGTCTTACTTCCTCTGATCGGCTCAGCTGCCATTCCTATACAGTCCAGTTCCACCTGCTTGGAGATAGCACTGCCCACAGTGTGCTGGACGCTTCCACATCAGTAAACAATTCAGAAAAAAATGCCCCTCCCACAACACGCCCACAGGCCAGGCTGGTAGAGCCAATTCCTCAGTGGGTTTCCCTATTCCCAGAAGACTCTAGTTTGTGTCAGTTAGACAAAAACTAGCCAGCACAGGAATTAACATCCAGGTCATGTTTATGTCTGCAAAGGCAGTGGCACTATCGATGAGAAGTAACACATTCAGCAGAAGATAGCAACCATTATTGTACTTCACAGGCTAAGATCAATTAAAACACTATTTTCTGAATCAAGTTTCCACCTAAAGGTCACAGTCATAAATTTCCACCACCCTTCTTCTGTGAAATGTGTAAATACTTGTCTGACTGATAATATACTAGGTACGCAGAAAGCAATTCTGGGGGGGGGGGTGCTAAGATGAAAGTGGGTCGTCATTTTCTTTTAATTCTACAGAAATAAACAGGTCTTGGTGAGAGGGAAGCATTTCTTCAGAGGAGCCCAAATCTAACCCTAAACAAGACTGTAGATAAGTAAGCCATCAGAGTATGACATCGCTTTCCTAGAATCTTGCTTTTGATGCTGTTGACAGGGCACCCACATGAATCTTACTGTGCACAAGCAATTCCGGGATAAACTGAGAAAATGAATCGACTGCATTGAAAACAGTAACCTCACCATGCCTTGGAAAGTGTTTTAGGGTTCTCTAAACTCAATAAGGTGTTGTAAGAAAACACTCTAAGAGAAAGTATTCCCAAGAATGAAACAGGCAGATACATTTCTGCTTTTAAAGACAGGGCACTGGGGTTTGGAATAGAAGCGATACAGCTTCATAATTGTTTTGAAGGAAAAGTACAAATCCACTCTCAGGTCATTTCTTTTAGAGCCTGAGTTGCTGAGGCATGAGGTATTGAAGTGTGTACATCAACACTAACCACAGACTGGCTTAGATAAGGCACTCTAGAATAGTGCACTTGTATATGTCAGCCCAGATCCATGGGATGGCACAAGAAGAAATGACTCAGCCCCTGAAGCTTTGGCACATGTGGTTGTCTGAATGGGAAGATGTGCTGGACAGAGTAGAGAGTGGCTCACCCCTTCTCCAAAGACTTGCATTAGCCATCACCAGGATAGAGATTTGGAAATGCGGGCACTTAAAATGAAACTAATAGGCACTTGCTTGTTTGTTTGCTTACTTGCTTTTGTAGATCTCGAGGTGGAAATCTGAGAGTACCTGAACAAGTACTCTACCCTCAGCTATACTCATCAACTGGGGACCAAGTGTTCAAATACATGACCATGTAGGGAAGTATTCCTCATTCACAACATGTTTACTACAAAAACATGCTCAATACCTCATAATTGTTTTTTAAAATCTCTTTAGTGGATAAATGAGTACTGTCTTTGATCACTTCCCTGAGGATTACTCCTGAACAACAGTCGCTTGTTCAGCACACCATTTTAATAGAGTTGCAGTGACATATATACAATATATATGAATAAATATATATTCCTAAAGATAATGCCTGTCATATGCTCAGTTAGAGAAAATGTAGATATGGTCCTGAAAAATCCAACAAATAGTCTTTGTCATAACACATCACATCATTACTTACTTAGAAATTCAGTTTATGTTTGAATCAAGATTGCAGATTTAATAAGTAGAAAGCAATCATTCTTCTCCTTCTTCTGTCTGTCTCTCTCTGTTTCTCTCTCTTTGTGTGTGTGGTGTGTGTGTGTGAGAGAGAGGGGGGGAGAGGGAGAGGGAGGAAGAGAGAGATTGCAGATTTGGGCATATGGGGAGGGATGGTGTGGATCTTTAGCTATCTATTGGGAAAGATATGTGGATTGTCCTTAATTAAATGTCATAAATCAGTTTGTTCTAGCATGAGGAGTTATTTTAATCAGCCACAAAATTAAGTAAACTTCCACATTTCAGCTATTCATTTCTTACTCCCATTTTGGATAAATCATTCATGATCATCTGTGTAGCAAGCTTTTTTGTTGGGCTGTCTTTGGACCTCCAGCCCATATATAACAACACAGAGACTTATTATTAAGAAAGCTCAGGCTTAGCTTAGGCTTGTCACACTAGCTCTTATAACTTATTTTAACCTGCTTCTACTAATCTACATTTTACCACTTGGCTTTTTACCTTTCTTTAATTCTATATGTCTGACTTCCTCTGTGTCTCATTGGCATCTCCAAATTTCTTCTTCCTAGAGTCCTCTCTGTCCCTGGAAATCCTGCCTAACCTCTTCCTGCCTAGCTACTGGCCATTCAGCTCTTTATTAAACCAATCTGAAGACGCCTTGGCAAAGACACATCTTCACAGTGTAAACAAATATTCCACAACACCTCTGCTGTTATTGAATAATATACCCCTATTTTTCTACAATGCTTCTGCCATTTGTCACACTGTATGCACTAGAAACTTGCTCATGAAACCTGTTACTCAATTACAATGAAGGAGAGAGCTACTGGGAATTCACCAATGAGAAAAATGGTTGGGGAACGAAATTTCCAACAAATCAAAATGCTGAGACATGAGAAAAGAATAGACCTTCCAACAAACTGGGCCAGTGTTCATAATAGGAAATAAGGCAGAGAAGGGCAAGAGACTAGAAACTGATCAATCTACTGGTATATTTGTACATGTATTATTCTGTGATTAAATCAGAATAAATATATGAAGACAAATCATGGTTTCTGAATGAATCTTTAAAATGTTTGAAACAATTTTCAATGTGATTTTTTTTTTTTTTTGGTTTTTCGAGACAGGGTTTCTCTGTGTAGCTTTGCGCCTTTCCTGGAACTCACTTGGTAGTCCAGGCTGGCCTCGAACTCACAGAGATTCACCTGCCTCTGCCTCCCGAGTGCTGGGATTAAAGGCGTGCGCCACCACCACCCGGCTTCAATGTGATTTTTAAGACTTCTATATTTCTTTCTCTTCTTTTGCTTGAATCTTATTGAATAAAGCATAGCCACCTAGTATTACAAATATACTATTACAGGCATGTGCTAGAATATAAAAGCCATTCTTTTGTGGGATAAAAAGAACATTTATGCAAACTTTTTGCTCATATACTCTAATTTGAGTTTTAATTATGTATATATCTTCCTGGGGGGAGGTGCACATGAGTGCAGGTGCCTGTAAAGGCTAGAACAGGGTATTATTAGGTCACCTGAAAGTGGACTTACAGTTGTGAGCACCCTTACAGAGATGCTGGGAACCAAAGTGCAGCAAATACTCTTAATCACTAAGTTATCTCTCTAGCCTCCACATTTATCACAATTACATATAACATTTATATACAGGATTAATTTAACTATTATTATGTATAGAGAAACACTAAATGTAAATTATATTTTAATTTTATACATTAATGTTATTTTACAAATTCTATCAGCTAATTTTATACCTATAATTCTCACATGTATAAAACTTTAATTTGCTGGGCGGTGGTGGCTCATGCCTTTAATCCCAGCACTCGGGAGGCAGAGGCAGGCAGATCTCTGTGAGTTCGAGGCCAGCCTGGTTTCCAAAGCGAGTTCCAGGAAAGGCGTAAAGCTACACAGAGAAACCCGGTCTCGGGGGGGGGGGGGAAACAACTTTAATTTGATCAGGCAGCTGTCTTTTAGAGAAATGAGTCAAGTCCCTTTCATCCATAATCCAATACCACCTGCCCTTTTGTACCTATACATCTGCTTATTAGAATATTTCTTTTGCATTTGTTTCTAATTGTTTCTTTAAATGTTATTGCATAGCCTATTTTATTAATTAATAAGTAATGCTATATCTTAGTATGTGATAATACCCAATGTGCTTCATAAATATATAGTATTTTGTATTCATCATCACACTTTGAAATATCCCCCTATTTCTGATTAAATGTATTATCAAATGTATAATATATAGGCCCAAATGACTGAAAAAAGTTGTCCAGGTCACAAATGTAATATACACATAGTCAGGCTTGCTTCTCAGAAAGCTCCTTCCTGGGCCAGTCTCTAGGCTGTTTTCTGGTATTGAACACTCTGATGAACTGACATTTAAGATTCTTGCTTATCTTCTTTGGGATCCAGCCATTCTCTTTGGCTCTCATTGTTCCAGCACTTAGTAATGCTGTACTATACAGCCCTTGACTCTGTCTAGAACATGGCACACATTTCTCCAGCTGCTAAGAGAGTAGCTGAAGCTCTCAGCTAAATTCTCATTAGCCACTGCCTTTGGCTAAAGGAATTACCCAGAGACATGTCCATCAGCAGTGATAGATCATGTGATCACACTGGGAGTGTTGAAAGACCATCTCAGCTCTAGGGTGACATGTGTGATTTACTGAGGACTTTGCTTAGACTGCATTGACATTTCGACTTTCATCTGCCTGGTCTTACATCACTTTCAAAGACATAGACTCCAGGTTTCTCTTCATGTGACTCCCTGAATGGTAATTCCACAAGAGTTGGTATTTGGGAGCCAATTCTATAGGAAGAATTTGCTAGATCAAGATGGTGGTTAGACAGTAACACTGTAAATGTGGGACCCAAGAGTTTTAGGGGAAATGACTTCATGTCTTGCCATCATTGAAGATCCCAAGGCCCCAACAGTATCCATTGTCAGCACCAATCACACCATACACTTAGACCAGCTTTTTGGCTTGCCAAAATTCTTTTCTAAATATATTTCAAGAGTTTTGATTACTTAATAGTCTTTACTTTTATTTTCCAGTCATAGCTGCAGTAGTTTTCTGAACATATTCTTAACACGACATGCAGTCTATGAAGA